AGTTGGTTTTACTTTTATATATCAAAGAAAATTCATTCTCATATTGATTAAAAGGTAATTTTTTCAGAATATAAATTGAAAATAATTTTTTCAGAGTATTCTTCCGAGTGTTTTTAGAAACAAAATATGCATTTGAATAATTTCATTTTCTTTTTAAAAAATATTAAAATAATATTTCGTATTACTTATATTGGAAAAATGAATTTTCAGTATGAAGAAACTGACTCTAGAGCTGTCCTTAAATGCAAGCATTTGCACTAAATATGAAAACCAAACAGAGTGTTTAAGCCATCATGGATTATGATTTTAATTGGCTGCAGATCTATAGACGGAGGTTATTAATTATCCTCACATCAATTTTTCAATATATAGGCTCTTGCTTCCTCTTGTAATTAAAAAAGAAAATACGAAGACCAAATTAAACCAGGTACAAACTAATCATGAATCATACGTAGTTGAGATGGAGACTCATCATACAGCCATATAATGAAATCATTGAAATGATTCTATTTAAAATTCAACCATACAATCCTCTACATACAATTAATATTTAATTTGTAATTTGCAGCTGGTCGTAATTGAAGCATGAATGGTTTAATATAATTAAATTGATGTGTCACGTAATAAAATTAAGCCTGTCCTTGAACCTTGCGCAAGTACAAAGTGGTTCATAATTTGTGGTGGTAATATTTCTAAAATAATTTATCCAAGCTCAGGTTAAGTAGTGGAGTGGGAAGAACATGGGCACTGGATTTGACCATATTTTTTTATTATATATTTTCACTACATATAATATGCATAAGCTTATGTGGGTGGCATAGTATGATTGAAGGCATTGAGTGGTTGGGGTTAAGCATTAACTGTCTCTGAAATCATCAGTACAGATATTATTAATTTATTATTATTCCGCCAATCACCATCACTGAGATTTTTTTTAAAAGTAGAAGAAGCCAAATAAAAATGAAAATGTCCTTAGGGAGAATTTCATTATAATTTCAAGAATGACACAGAATTTCAAATCAATTTGAAAAAATCTTAAAATTACACGACAGAATTAAATGATTAAATTAAAATTATGTTTTATATTAAAAAAAAGATAAAAATGTTCTCAAAATATTCTTTTTTTAAAAAATAATCTATTGTCACTAGACTGCCACAGCTATGGCTCTGTTCACCGAACCTCTGCCACTGTTATTGAAGCTCCGGTGACTAGTAACCGGTTGCTAGAGAATTAATTTTTCAAGTTGGTGAAGGGAAGATCGATCCTCCAGCAACCGCTGGCTTGGCAAAGTAGAATTGACCACCAAGCTACCCAAGCCTTCTGATAATATGATACAAAAAATAATATACATAATAAACTAAATCCCAAACCATCACTCCTTTCTTATTATATGAATAATTTGATAAAATTCTAACTTTACTTATTAAAATACTAACTTAACTTATTATTTTAAATTAAACTAAGTTTTTAAACAGAAGTTCAAGTGAACAAGTAAAGTTCAGTAATTAACAAGTCATATTAAAAAATTAATAAGTAATCAACAAGATTTATTAATTACTTAAATTTATTTGTTAAATTTGTGACTTTCCCAACCAAATTATATTATTTATTAATCACATAATTTTATTTGTTAATTCATCAATATTGACTTGTTAATTACGTATTGAACTTGTTTGCTTGGACTTTTGTTTGAAAACTTTGTTTACTTTAAAATATCAAGTTGAGTTAGTATGAAGATGACAAGTTGAATTGTTAATAGTTGCTTTTATTTTTATATCAATTTTTCAATAAATAGGCTCTTGCTTCCTCTTGTAATAATTAAAAAAGAAAATACGAAGACCAAATTAAACCAGGTACAAACTAATCATGAATCATTGAATCATACGTTGAGATGGAAACTCATAGCGATATAATGAAATGATTCTATTTTAAAATTAAACCAAAAGTTTACTATACTCAAATTGACGCGAGTAAATGAAGCCTGTCCTTACACAAGTACGAGGTGGTTCATAATTTGTGGTGGTAATATTTCTAAAATTTATCAAAGCTTAGTTTAAGTAGCGGAGTGGGAAGTAACATGTGTCCTACATATGGATTGGACCATATATATATTTTCACTGTATATAAATATATAAAAAAGCATCTATGGGTGGCATAGTGTGCTTGTGGGGATTGAGTGGTTGGGGTTAAGCAGTAAGCCAGTAACCACTACCTCTGAATTCTGAAATCAGTATTTATATATATTATTAATTATTCCGCCAATCTCCATCACTGACTTAAAGGAGGAAGAAGAAGCCGAATCGAAATGAAAATGTCCTCATCCACGTTATAAAAGGGATTCCAAAACAAAGTCATTCATGTAACCATACATAACGACAAGGTCTTGTTCCTGCATCTCCATTTACGGTTTCATATCAGAATTTCTGTGTGCTACACTCCCACATATCGTTTTCAGATTAGAAACGTGACCAATGAGGTTAAAGAGATCACGTGGGGGTATATTGAATCGAACTGAAGTCAAAAATGCAAAGTCCATATACAGGAGAGAGAGAGAGAGAGAGAGAGAGAGAGACAGCTGTCGACCACGAGGCAAGCTCTCTGTTTTTTTTTTTTTGCCCATCGGGAATTGTTTTTCTTCCCTTGGTTACATTCACAGTCCACACTGACTCTATCGTGTTTTATTTATTTGACGATTAATTAACTTGATTATTTCAAAACCCAACAATATTATCACACTTTTTGAAACTTTTAAAGTTTTCCAAAGAAGTGATTATAGCATGGTTAATTGGTAAACTGTACTATGAAACATGTTAAAAGAAATCAGTACTCTTGGGTCAGAATTGTTTGGGACGTACTAGTACACGTATCATTAATGAAATATGTGTGTGATCTCTCTGCGATTGCCAGATCCAGAGGCGTGATCTGCCTCTCCTGATTGCTGACGATGATTTGGGTTATAGTAGTGAGGGACAGACACAGAGGAGAGACCCTTAAATCCCGGAGGGTAAAAGTTCTTTAACCACACATGCAAATGGTCAGATATACCTCCACCTAATTTGCCGCCACTGCGGCTCTTCAAGCTCCCAACAGGTGGCGCGTGCTCTTCAGACTCCGACAACTTCACTGGAGGGTTTTTGGGACGGTAAAAGAGAGTTAGTGAGGAGCAGGAGGGGGAGGGGCTCTCACTCTTAGGTCTGACCAGTTCAGAGAGGGGATCAGGCAATCCAGTAGAAGAAGGAGCATCGTAATAAAAAACGACAAGGCACGAGGACGAGGAGCTAAGGTAACCCTTGACCTTGAGATTTGAGAGCGATGACAACAACAAATTTAAGTCCCACACCGCGTAACGTAGTAATATACTCCATTCTATCTCTTTTAGCCCTTTGTTGGTCAAAAAAATAAAAATAAAAAAACTTCTTATACTCCTTTAAAAATTAAAATATAAACACTGTTTAACAATACTTTGCTAATAAAATTCTCATTCCTATTATTTTTAAACTTTTAGTTTTAATTTATAATAAGAGAGAGACGTCATAAATCACATGCACAAAAATTTAGGTTAATATAAAAGATAAAATGGAAAATTTTTTTATAAATACTACATGAAAAAATGCTTATATTTTAAACAAGAGATAACACTTTATTAGGTAAAGTTAATTAACTTCACACTTATTAAGAAATACTGATAATATTCTTAAAATTAATAAAAAAATAAAATATATTTTTGATCCTCTAACTTCATATAAGGTTTTGATTTAGTCTTTTAATTTTATGAAGTACATATTGTTAGTTTTAAATAATTGTTGTTATTTTTTTAAAATTAAACTTAAAAGTCAACATTTGAGAATATTTTATCAATATTTAAAAATTTAAGATAAAAAGCATTTATGATAAAACTAACAGTAATATAATAAGAGCCAAAATAAAATTTTATGTAAAGTTAAAGAATAAAAAGTATACTTTAACTTAAAAAAACATGTAATATTTTAAATTTACTTTTTTTTTGTAATTAATAGCTTAATAAATTGTTGTATAGGAATTCAAATCTGAATGAATAAACAAGGGTAAAATTGAAAAATACAATTAATCACTCCAACTTTCTTTGTATTAAAGGGAAAAAAAGCTCCCAAACTCTACCTTATATTCAGGATTGAAAAATTATATTTAACAAAATCAAGTAGCGATACCAACCGATGGTCTGTTGATACTAGTAAATTAAGATGGATTATTATAACTGTTTAAATATGAGGTCTCCACACCTCACATGAATGGAATTGCATTCGGTGCTGTGATGAGTACCGCGTGCACATCCTGGCCATCTATTTTAGTCTAAATTAATCTTTATTGTTTATTTAAATTAATTTTTAAATATTTTTAAAATTATATTTATTAATATAAAAATATAAAAATTTTAAAATTTTAATATATTTATTCATTATCAATCTGGCTAGTACAGATTTAATCTAACAATACAGTTTAATATTAGAATTTTTTATAATTTTTTAATTTGATTATAAAGATAGATTATGTACAGTTCAGATATAATTTAAATAACTTAATTTAACATTAAAAAATTTATAAATTTTATAAATTGACTATTTAAACGTATTTTAAATAGTCCAAATTTAATATTAACTTTTTATTTTAATAAATATAATAGAAATATTTAAAAATTAATTTAAATGAGCGGTAATGATCACATAAAGTTGAAATGGAGGGCTAAGATTGCTTCTGGCCTGATGAGCAAGTATTGAATGCAGACACCACATGAATACAGAAAACATATTCAAAAAATATATTCCCTCCTTTTAAAAATATAAGATATTTTTTAAGAAGTTAAATGTTTAAAATTGTAAGGCATTTTTAATCTTTTGAGGTGTAATCATTGTCTTTTTTTTAAAAGTACTTTATTAATAATGACTTTTTATTTATTATATAATATTTAATAGGGACAAATATTAAAAGATAAAATTAATTAAAAAATAAATAATTATTTTATTGAGGGATAAAATTTAATTAAAAATGTATAGTATTTTTGAATGGAGGGATTACTTCTTTAATTAAATCTAACAATCCTTGAGTCTAGCGGATTACTATCAAAATAATGCAAGTAGTGGGAAGGTGGAATTAAAACAAGTAGAAGCACAATCTTTGAGTTGGTGATTGGACCGTCCTTGGAAGATCCACCACCATACCACCAACTCCATTCCCAACCCGTTCCTGTCAACGTCTCTGTCTCTCTCCCTCACTCACAGTTCGTCAAAGCCTCTCGTGTTGGCGTTTGGCGATCAACAGAGACAAGGGAAACAGTGTGTCGGTAATTAAGTCACTGCTACGCCATACCATGTAAGTTTGTATTTGTGTGTAGCTGAATAATCTTCTTGTCATCCCTCCCTCCCTCCCTCTCTCTGTAGCTTAATAATGTTCTTGTCCTCTCTCTCTCTCTCTCTCTCTCTCTCTCTCTCTCTCTGCGCTCGGTCTCACCTTTCTGATATCTGATATAACCACAGGTCAAGCTCAACTTTGGCTCTCACTCTTCCTCACATGCATTGGATTCCTTTCTCTTCAGATGTTCTAATACAAACTTCAAAATCAAAACAGGGTTCCCAAAGGAAAATCCAACATCCTTTCGTTCAACTTGCCCATTTTTTAATATTTTAACATGTCTAGTTTATAATTCATGTTGCAAGAGAGTCTTCAATTCATAATTAAATAATATTATGAAATATTTCGTTGGGTTTATTTATAAGTCAGAGAAAGAAAAGTAATTTTAATTTCATCTATAAGGCACACTTTACTACTTTTAAATCCGTCTTAACCTCTCTACTTTTATTAAATATTAGAAAAAATTATAAAAATAATTATTTTTGTCTTTATTAGGTATAGAGATAGAAACATATTAAATTTTAAAACAAATTAAGTTAATGACACCGCTTTTAAAAAAAATTCTATATAACGATTTTATTTGCTTATATATAATGATTATTAATCGCTATGTATTCACGCACTATATAATCTCGAAGCAACTATATAACATTTTTTAACCGCTATGAGCCCGTTTGAATTTTAATTGGGTATAATTAATTATAAAAATAATTGATTAATATGATTATTTTAATTACAATTGATTATATTATAAAATAATCTATTTGGATATTAAAATTAATTTTAACTGTATAAATTATCATAAAAGACATTATTTTTAAAAATTAAATTATTGATAAAGTTGTATTTAATATTAGTAAATTTGTTAACTTTATTTAAGAAGTAAAATATATTATTTAACAGTAAAATTAAATTTATAAGCAACCTCTTAGAGCTTATTTTAAAACATGATTCTGACTCAATAATCAATTATCAAATGAGTTTGCTGTTTGGATAATTTTTGTTAAAATCAATTATTTTGGCACAAATAATTAATTATTACGCTATCCAAACAGGCTTTATATATATTTTTTAGGTTTATATAATGGCTATTTTTAAATAATCGTTATATATTTTATTCTAGTTACGAGTCCCACCAACATTTCAATCAACTATATAATAGTTTTTTTAAAATAACCATTAAATAGTTACCCTATATTCAACAGTTCTTTCATAAAAATTAGGTTCATTTTTTTTTCATTTTTAACTAATAACCACTATGTAGCAGTTATTTTGAAATAATAGCTGTGTAATTTAATTTTGATAAATAAAAATGATTGCATTTATTGCACCCTCCTGCAATAACAGTACAAATTTTAAGTAGCAACAATATCTAGCAACAAAATTCTTAACGGAACCAAATTTTTCATGCATTGATCAATATTTCAATAATCCAACTTTATTTTCCTAAAATTCTATTTGCAATTACTTCAATATTGTAAAAAAATGCCTATACATTGAACTAATTACAAGGAAAAATTTTCCAGAAAGTGAAATTGAAAGTTAAGTTGGCAAAGTTAACCAAAAGCCAAAACTTATGGCCAAAGTAACTACGTTTTGCCTAATCATGATAAAAAAAAAAAAACCTATACTATAATCCTATCTATTGAGCCATAAGCTGATGAGCACAGTGATCATCTTCTTTGTACCCATTGCTTAAATAAATCTTGGGCTGATTCTTCAAGGATTTCTACAATCTGAATTGAACTATATTTCTCTAATATGCATCCTTGAAGTACTATTAAGCTAAGCATAACATAAATCATGTTTAAGTATATGACATGTGTAATATAATGTAAATTATTAAAATTAATAAAGTAGAGAAAGGAGACACACTTGGTCAAGCATAATCCCATCAATTGGTGCATGTTCTACCATGTCAATCATGTATAGCCACAATCCCTAATCTTCTCACATTGTTTTAGGCTCTTTTGATCAAACCAAAAAAATAATAATAAAGTTAGCTATAATATAATGAACTTAATTTGGTGAAATAAATTTAGGGTAAATATATACTTTAATCATTGTCATTGAAATGTGTCATCAACAGTAGAAAATACTCCAATGAAAGGAAACTCTTTACCGGTTCAAAATGTGTGGACAATCATTCATGACAATATGAAACTTTATATGAAATATCATATGAAAATAATAATTTATACTCATGAAGAAAAATTATTTAACTTACTTATTAAACATAATCATGATATGTTTTCGGTTATCTGGATGCCCTCCAAAAGGACTGAGGTACCATATTATGCCTCTATATGGATTGAGCATGAGTAGCATTCAATAACCCCAATCACAATAAGCACATACATATTAGCATGTTTTATACAAAAACAACTTAAATAACAAAATTCAAATATGACTATCACTAAAAATGATTCATCTATCATAAAATGATGCCAAAAAAAATTTGATTCTCCCTAGTTACATGCTGGTTTAAAACAAAATTTGGCCTTTATTGGCCATGTACTATGAGTATTGCTTTAAAGCCCATGTCAGTGGATCCCATTAGTAGACAATGCAAGGCATAAGTTCCTATCTTCTTGCCCAAATTTAGGGTATTTACAATCAAATTTATTCAATTCAAAAGCATCAATAAGATGCCAAAATAAGCCATCTTTACTCCACTCATTTGTATGCCGTGTTAGATTTTTTTTATCTCTTTTGGTATGCTATACAAGTATATGAATCTTGATATGATTGAAAATAATAACACATTGTTTTCCACAGAATCTTCCCATTCTTCTTGTAACATAGTACCATGCGCCTAGAGCAATGAATCAATGATTCATATTCTACCTCAAACAAAATGCAATTATTGAAATAAACATTTATCTTCTCATAGTTTAGGCTAACAGAATGTAACACTTGTTTTGCCTTATACACCTGACTTAGAAGTTTGTTGTTCTTTGGTAGTATTTTTTTAATGATAGAGATTTTTTTTTTGTGAAATTGGAGTCACTCCATCCATATCTTTCTTCAAGTTGTAGAATCTCAATATTGTAGACAATACTGTGTGTTCACAACCTTTATACAAAGGTGTCTCTGCATCACTCTTAACCTCTCTAACATTTTTGAAAAATCCTTGAATACCTCTTTCATGTTATCTTCCAACTCTTTAAGATGGTTGGCTGCATATGCACTTGCATTAAAAATAAGAGAAGAAGAACTTTCACTATGCCACTAGCTACAATTAATCTCATTCAGTGTCTCCTCATATAATATCCAAGACTTATAACTCTGATTAATTTCAAATTTCATCAAGTGATCTTCAAGTTATTATGGAGAAATATGCTTGATAGAATTACATTTTGAACAGAGATAAATAATTCTTTCTAGATCTTTGGCGTGCTTATATGCAAACTTAACAAATTTTTAAACCCCATCCCAATATTCTTGAGATGTATGCTTAGCAGACACATCTATCTCTTATCAATAATTTCAATTTGTTGTTAATCATTTTGAAAGAGAATGTGATTAGTAACTCAATACCAATTAGAACAATTAAAGCAAGATAGAATAAATGCTTGAGTCATGTGCTGCCATATATTATCCCTCTCTAACTATAGGATCAACTAGTATATTAAACGTGATTTAAATCATATCCCATTACACTTGAAAAAATTTTAGCAGCATAATTACTTAAAATCATCACATCCTAGGCCTGATATATGCCCTCTCTTTATAGTATTTAACATAAAAATACTTCAAATAGTTTCACCATAGCACCTATTTGAATGGGAAACAATAATTTAAAGAAGCATAATAGTATAAATATGAATTTTGCCTAGGTCTAATAATATTTACCTTTCAAAACAAATACAGATCGAGACCAATCACAATACTAATTTTAGAAATTAAATATCACAAAGAGCAATCCAATATTAAGAATAATGAAGGAAAAATATAAAAACAATAATATTATTAAAAAAACATTAACCCAGTATCCAAATCACCAATTATATCAAAAACAAAGAAAGAATTTTTTTTAACTCAGAGCAAGAAAAAATCTACATTGTTCAACAAATAAAGCAACAAACTCAAGAAAAAGTCTACATTGAAATTACTCGTTTATTGCCTGAGTTTTTTTATCCCTCATTGTGGATTTTCCCTTATTAAATTTTCTATGTCATCTTTTATCATTTTTTTTAAACTTCTCTATAATTTCTAATTATTTTATCTTGTTTACTTTCGCTTATTTTTTGCGTACTTCCTAACAAGTGATACTAGAGCCCAATTCTCAATTGAAAATTTTCATGATGTCTATTGTTATAAAGTTTAACATTGAGAAGTTTGATGGCAATATTAGTTTTGCTAGTTGGTGAGTTCATATAAAAGTCGTTCTTACTCAACATAGGTTAAAGAAAGCTTTACTTGGAAACGATAATAAGCTGATAACTATGTCTGATGAACAATTTAAAGAGTTAGATGATCTCTTTTGGCTATTCAACTATGCATATCTCAGGAAGCTCTACGAGAAGTATACAACAAAACTAGTGCTACCTCATTGTGGTTAAAGTTGGAATCTCTTTATATGATGAAAAATTTAGCAAATAAGTTTTATCTCAAAGAATGACTATATACCATTCTTATGATTGAAGGTATTCCTATTCAATCTCATTTTGTTGAATTTAATTTCATTATTATGAATTTAGAAAACATTAATGTCAAAATTGAAGATGAGGATACATATGCTTTGTTGGTTGTCTTATCGCTTCCCTCTTATAAACATTCTAAGGAAATTATGCTTTATGAAAATTCATACACCATAGCCTTTAAAGATATAAAATTTAATTTATTGTCAAAAGAAAAGTTTGATCTTGAAGTTTCTTCTGAGGGCAAAGGTAAAGGTTTAAATATAAGGGGGAGAAGTGATGAAAAAGAAAGTACTAGAAAATCTAGATCTAAGTCCAGGAGACATAAATCCAACAATAATGATGAAACCTATAATTATTGCAACAAGTTAGGTCATAAGATATCTCAATATTATAGGCTTAAAAAGAAGTGTGAAAGAGAAGAACAAAATAAGCAACCTCAAAAATTATCTGATGAAGCTAGTATTATTGAGATGGAGTCACATGGTGATGTTTTGTTGTTTGTTTCCTTTATAAAACTAATTAGATTATTGATTCTTCTTGCACTTTTTATATATGTCCTCATAAAGGTTGGTTTACCCCTCTTGAACCTTTTGACCATGGTATTGTTTTGACAGGTGATGATAATGAATGTAAGATTCTAGAAATTGGTACAGTGCATATCAAGACTCATGATGGTGTTATTAAAAATCTTTATGATGTTCGTTATGTTCC